TGACCGGAAGAGTTTTTTTTTTTGACAGATAGTCCATATATTTATTGGATACTTTTCTCTTTAGCTTAGCATCTAGATTGTAGACACAAATAACATCACTTTTAATAGGGCTATCAAAACAATGAAAGTTAATAACTATAAATAAAATAGTTAAGCATTATAAAATTGAATCTATTTACTCAAAGTATTTAATATCTTTGCCAGCTTCTACTGAATTTATATGGTTTTGAAGCAACATGCAAAGGTCTTGTAGGTTTGATAAAGAATCCCTTTCATTTTAATAAAAATATTATTAATCATTATTCATATAATAAGAAAATGAGTTTTAACAATTACCTTTGAGGTACCTAGTTGCATAAAATTCTTTTTCAAATTAAATACATTTGAAAAAGCTATTCAACTTCTTTATCATTTTCACTCATAATCTCCTGCCAAACTTTTATAATAGATGATGCCGTGCTCTCCTTTAGTTTTCAAAAATATGATTTTTGTTATGTTTATCTATTAAAAAATATATATACAGTGTGAGTAATTAAGTTTACTTTAAATTGGTTTATTAAAAATTCTCCTTTGCCATGTTCATTTTTGAATTGTTTCAAAAAGCGAGAATTATAGCCATCTCTAAACATGTATTTCTTGTAAAATCACTTTGTTCTATGTGATACAAAAGAAAATTATATAGGCTCTAGGTGCTAATGTCATTGTTTTTAAAGTAATGAATGATGTTTTAAAATTTTATTGTAACAGGTATCTACCTCTCTAGGCATTGAAGTATTGAAGACAGAGGTAGTAAACATTCAATATCTATCTTATCTTCATTTACAATTTTAATTACAAACTCTATTGCTTTTAAGATTTTTTCTTCAAACAAAGCTATTAACAAACTTATAACTATTTCATATTACAACTTTTTTTATAAATAGTTATTATTTTATACAGTTGAATCTGTAATTGATATTAGTACTAACCAATATATAATAGATATTAGTTGAATACAAACCAATAACAATAATTTAAATTATTAACTTCTTTTTTACTAAATACAATACCGATTCTTATTATACAAGACCAAACTTTTCTTAATTCTTGCTGTAATTTCAACAGCTTCTTATAACTCAGTTATTAATCTCTTCACTAATTCCTAATCAATAAATTTTAATTTCAACAAGCATCAACTTAACCTAACCAATTTTAACAATTTAACTTATAATCTCTTAGGTATACCTTATCAAATATTATAAAATTATACAAATTACATATTATTGTGCAAACACTTATGATCGTGGTATTTTTTTGCCTTGATATTTTTATACATATAGTGTTACACAAGCAGATATTTTACGAATGCACAAATATTCAAATCATATTCAAGTTATGAAAAGCTAAATACATAATTTATTACTTTTTTTTCGTATTAGCATTAATAATTACTTTATTTATAGTGACCCGAAATTAAAAGTGCAATTATGAAATACATTCCTAGTAAAGAATTTTTAAAATGCCTCCTTACTTATTTGAGTTTGATCTTTAATCTCTTTATTACCTTGACTTTCCATTTGTTTTTTTGTTTTACTTTTCGGATTGGTTGAGCTTTTCTGTAGCATATTTTGATCACGTTCGATTAGTATATTTCGTGGAGATTCTGGTAAACCATTTGATTCGGGTAGGTCATTTGATTCAGGTAGATTATATGATTCGGGTAGGTCAATTAATTCGGTTAGGTCAACTAATTCAGATCATTCATTTTCTGAAAATTCTTCAACTGAAATAAATGATGAATAATTGCTTGTGATGTAAAATTGCCATCTATTTTTTTAGTTTAATCGGTCATTTTACTATCATAATGGCCTTGTGATTCAGGTGATGAAAATGGTACAACCATCATTAGCATATTAAAAAATCTATTCAATCCTTGTTGTTGTATTACACTGGTCGAAATCAAAAATATAAACCAAATATCATCAAGCAATCATCTAATCGATAGCTGGCCGATAGT